AACATCAGTTTCGAGGAGTTTGAGAAGTCGCTATGTTGTCCACTTCTTAAATACTGAACTATGTATAATCTTTCCAGCTATAGTTGCTTGTTAAGTAATCTTTATGCTCACTTACTTGATTGTTAAGATCGTCCCTTCTGTATATATATTTGGCACTAGAAAAGAGAGAATGGGCGAGGAGCTTGTTACCACTGCTGTCCACCAGTTTGCCAGGGTTTTTGGTTGACGGAAACTCACGATCTGGTTTCACTATTTAGTAAGGGTAGTGTAGTGTGGTTAGAATGGCCAGCTTCTGCAGAAGAAGCCCCGGGCCGCGGTTAGGCCCAGTAAGGCAAGGGTCCCAGAGGGTAACCCCCGGGAGAAGGCCACGTCCGAACGGGAGCGTGACTCGAGGAAGTGTGGTTGCACGGGTAAAGGTTACCGTCAGAGGTCATAAGTGGGCGTGGCTTAGGTAAGTATGGCGGCGGTGCTGACCTATTGGTCACCTCTCTTAGTTGGAAGGCGTGACATTGAAGGCATCTGACCACTCTGAGAGAGTAAGTGAAAGAGAGAGAGTGAGAGTGTGTGTGTGCAATCAGTGATCGAAAAGCTTCGATTTAACATTTTTATATTTTTTCTTTTGAACAAAGTAAATATTGTTTCCAGTACCCTTCACATGATATTCAAAATCCCCAAAATCAAATGATTTTACTAAAGACCGTTGATCAATATAATGTAGATCAAACCACAAATGGCATTGTCAGCCCACCAATTCCAATTTGTCTTATTATCCCAAATACACACATTAAGAGGGAAATCAATGACGAGATAGGCAATAAGATTTGCCCATCTTTATCGCCAGGATGTAGAAAGTAATGGACACATGAAACGTTTGATATTTGCATTTTGAAGGTGTATGAGAACTTGACCCCCTACTTTGTAAACTTCAGCAGGTATAGCATCTGCTCCAGGTGCCTTGCCATATGACAGTTGCATAGTAGCCTTAATGACTTCCTTTTCAGTGGGTGGGTCATCAAGTTTTGAGTTCATGTCCACCTGGGGGAGGCGGTTGATTGCTGCGTCATTGATGGATGATGGTCGGTTGAGTGCATTGTCAAAATGCTCTGCCCACTTTTCTAGTATTTGTGATTTTTCCAGTCAATGGTGTTTCACTATCTGCAGCTAGAACGGGTGAGGTGCCAGATGTTGTCGGCCCATAGATTACTTTGAGGGCGTCGTAGAAGCGCTTTGAGTCATGCTTGTCGGCATAGCTCTGGATCTCGTCAGCTTTGTCGCTGACCCAGTTGTCTTGCATAGTCCATAGCTTGACTTGTACTTGACGACGGCTCTCAATGAATGCTGATGACCAATCGGTGGCCAGTCCAACATTCAGCGCCACACATAGCTTTGATAACACGAACATCGGTCTTGTCTTTCGTTTTGGTGATAACATTGTTGAGCATATATCAGTGCTTGGATCTTGGGTGGATCCATGTTATTTTCTTTCTCCTGGCTAGTTGAAAGAGTGTGATTGCAGTAGAAGTAGACCATTGCTATTGCATTTCCCAATACTGTGTTTGCCGATCACACCTTCCCAAGCTTGATGATCAACCCCAACTCTGGCATTGAAGTCCCCAAATAGGAGTAGTTTGTTGGCTGTGGGTACACTTGAGATGACAGAGTCGAGTTCTTCATAAAACTTGTCCTTCACTTCATCGGGGTTTGTCATGATTGGAGCAAAGGCGCTTATCAGTGTTGCATGCTTCTTGTCAGTAAGTGGTTGTTGCATTGTCATGAGTCTGTCATTGATACCTTTTGGTAGCGTCTCAAGGTTCTTTAGGAGATTTGATTTGATTGCGAAACCAACCCCAGCTTCACGACATTCTTCTCGTTTGTGTCCACTCCAAAAGAAAGTGTAAACAGCACCTGTCTCGGTCAGCTGGCCTTCGTCAGCAAATCTTGTCTCTGAGAGTGCTTTTAGAATGGTGCCATTCACTTGTCTTTTTGGTACTGATGGTTAGACCAATGTTGTCGCATGCATCAGAGAATTTGCCCATACCATGTTGCATTTGTTCTTTGGTGTTGGCATAGCCACCTCCAGCAGACTTTAACCCTCGGTAGTAGAAGTCATTCCTGTCGATGAGCATAATATGGTATTGAGACTGAAGCTTACATGTCTCTTATTGCTGTGTACGCTCATACAGATGTGTATAGACATCTGTAGATGTTTTACACCAAACTCGCATCTGTGACAGAGAGCTGTCCTCGGCGAGATATTCATATTGTTCTGGGTGACTTCAATGCGGTATCTGGCTGCGATCAAGCTGGCTTTGAAATGTCTGTCGCTCCTCATGGCTCAGGAGCTGATGCTGGCAGCATTCTGAGCACTCAATGGAGGATCCTCTAGAACTGCAGGGTGTATCAGAGCACCGAGTTCTGTGGAACTGATCATATATTAGTTTTGGCTATTCTCCACTTTAGAACCTCCTATCGCTCCAATGAACACCTTAGGGTGCTTCATGTGGACAGATTAAGGGAGGCTGCGCGTGCCCGGAGATTTGCCGAGGCTATCTCTGGTCATTTCACAGCACTCGAGGGCCTGATGTTCTTCTGTCGAAAACCAACAAACATGAAACGCTTGATGCAACCCAAGAATCGATTGGGTGAATGTCCAAGTGCAAGACAGAATTTTATCTCGCAGGAGACACTGGAAGCCACAGATGCTGTTAAAGACTGGTGGAGAACCTATGGCAAGGGGCTTGCCCGCTGTCCTGTCTGCCATCTGGCAGACTGGTACTGTAGTGACCATACATCGCCAGCCGTTCCGGAGCACGATCTATTTCAGTTTCCCCTGAAAGACACCGAAATTTCCCGCGTAACCGCACGTGATGCAGCTGCCTTCTCCGTCTTTTATGTATCTTTTTATGCCTTTAATAGTTTTACTGATAAATAAAGATTTATTATTATAATTGAGAGGAACCGTGACCATTTCTTTTTACTTTTCTATTTGAGCACATTTTTATTCAAAAGCTAAATAAACACTTATGTAGCTAAACATCGTATTAGTATCTTTTATGGGGAGTAAGGGGTTGTAACCCCAAAGAAACAGATTGAAAAACTGTTTTACATGGGCGAGAACTGCCACGCCATCTAGGGAGGGGGGAATTGTTTAGCTCGTTCCCAGACTAGTTACTAGCCCATTAGTTAAATCCTTGCTGGGGGTCGGCTATATATAGCCCGGGAACAGAGCAGAGGACGCACGACTCGTGGTCGAAACTCTGATGAGTCAACACCTTACCAAAAAATGCAGCAACAAACTAATAAGTCTTGTGCCACTTGAGCTACCCTGGAGCCCGGGGCTGTAATTACAGATCATTATAGTGCTTTGCTAGCACCTTCAGTGCTTTGTTTTTGCAGGTGACACGAGGCAGTAGGCCTAGTCAGCACCCCACCTCAGACCCGCAGCTCTCTTCTACACCAGGGTAGCCCTTGGGTAGGGAGGCCCAGTAGTCTGGGGCGTCATTTGGGCGCACTTTTTCTTATTTTCTAATTTCTCTTCCTTATAATGTGACTTTCCTGAGCCTACCGGAGTTCCTCGGAACTCCCGTATTCGCTTGGGGGGTGGGCATTGAATTACCGTCCTTCGCTTAGGCAAGTTCGGCGGTAAGGAGGTGTCCCACACATAACTCGATCCCTCTGTGGTACTGGAGAACGCAGCCAGGCTTCCACTCAGGGGGTAGAGGACGTTTAACTGCCTTACTCTCTTAGCTATTGCTGTTAGGTTGATACCAAAAGTTAAGAGTTTTTGATCCCTTCAGGACAACATTTGTGAGACAAGGGGTCGGACCTGGTCCGATACCCAGTATGAGTGGTACCCCGGCTACCCCTTCTCTTCCTCAAGGAGGGGGGACGACTAACGACCCTGCTAAGACTAATTCGACTATGAACAATGGTACCCCCACTAACGACAAAACAAAACGACCACTCTTTAAGATCCCCACCCAGAATGCAAGGTTCGCGAATGTAAAATGCGTGAATGAAAATCAGTCGCTTCTGAACGTTAACCCCTTTATCATCAAAAAGGTCCTTGATGGTCAAATGGACGGCGATTTTGATTTTGTCAAAAAATTTGAAGATTTGAGGACGATGGAAGAAAGTGAAATTCTCGAGATCATGAAGGACCAACACGTAGTGGACGTTCATTGTATGACCAAGAAGGACGGGAATATGCGAATGAAAACTGGACTGTGTTTTTTTACCTTTGCCCTGAATAAAATCCCTGAATATGTCAATGTCGGTTATGAGCGTGTTCAAGTAAGACCTTATGTTCAAAAGCCAATGCATTGTAATAGATGCCAAAAATTCGGACACACCTCATTAAGATGTATTGATAAAGACCATAAATGTGCTGAAGCCCATGACACCATCACATGTACTAGCCAGATTTCCAAATGTGCTAACTGTGGAGGTCCCCATCAGTCAGGATCTGCCGAGTGCAGCATCCTGAAGAAGGAGACTGAGACATTAGCATATATGAGAAAACATGAAGTTAGTTATACTGAAGCTAAGAGGAAAGTTGAAAGTTTGACACACAAACCTGATACTTCCTATGCTGCAGCACTAACTAACAACACCCCTAGCACAAGTGATGTCAGTCAACAGCTTGCAGCTAAGGATAAGGAAATTGCTGAACTTAAACAAACTGTCAAAGAATTAAATATTAAAGTTTATCAACTGACTAAATTGGTCGATCAAATGGCTGCATCAACTCAGCATAAGGAGGAGGATACCGAATCACAGTCCGGAGCACACCTTCCCGTCCGGGCTACTCCTGTGAGGACTTCGTCTGGCTCTCGATCGGCTTCTCGAGAGAGAAGCAGATCGCAATCTGTCAGTCGTCTCCCTCGCCAGGAGGTGCAGGACATGGAGGCTTCTGTCTCCAAACCATCCCGAGAGAGGTCCCCGGGAAGCGAGGGAGAGGAGGCACCTCCCTCCCATAAAAAGAAAATTCGAACTGGTGGACAAGGCACTTCCAAACCCCATAAAACGTAATCTTCGCGTCGACCATTATACAATGGAACTGTCGAAGTATTAGATCTAAAGGAAATGACCTTAAATTATTAGCCTCGTCCTATGCTCCCAATATTATAGTTCTCCAAGGAACACATTTAACAGAATTCGTCTCTGACGAGGTTGTTTCGCTGTGTCGGAAGGACCGTGAGGGTAGGGGTGGAGGCGGAGTCGCCATGTACATCCACCAAAACCTCCCTTTTACAGAAGTGACTTTTAATTCTACTTTGGAGTTTGTTGCATGCAAAGTAAAAATTAATGGCACGTATCTGGCTATATGTTCAGTTTATTGTCCACCTGATACAGTGATAATCTATGATGAGCTTTTTGCTCTTCAGGAACGTCTGCCACAAAATAAAGTAATTTTAGGTGATTTTAATGCTCATCATACATTATGGGGTTCCCTGCGGGTGGATGGTAGAGGTGAGCAAGTAGTTAAGCTGATTAATGAGTCCGATTTAGTCCTTCTGAACGATGGTAGTCCCACGCGGGTGGAAGATAATACCGGTAATTTGAGCTTTATTGACCTATCACTGGTCTCTTCATCAGTAGCAGCTAAGTGCCTGTGGCACACCATTGACGACTCGTTGGGAAGCGATCACCTTCCTATTTTGATTGAATATTCATGCGACACAGTGAGAATGCCTTCAGCGCCTAAATTTAACGTAAAAAGAGCAGACTGGGTCGCCTTCACAAGGAGCGTCAAGCTCGAACTAGTTGGAGAAACCATTGATGATAAAGTAAACAACATTCAGAATTCGAGTGTGTGGGTGCGGGTGTATGGTCAACTGAATGTGAACTAAAGTTCAGACTGCCGAATCAGACATCGATCTTTCTTGCTGAACTTTTTGCTATAGATAAAGCCATTGATTTTGCACTATCGACGACCCACGATAGAATAGTTATTTTTTCAGATTCATTAAGTTCACTTAAAGCTATTAAATCCTTAGAAACCACTAAAAATGAATTGCTGGGTAATATCATTCGTAAGTTACATGGTGCCAACAAATCAATCAAGCTAATATGGCCACTCTGGTATCCATGGCAATGAACAGGCAGACAAATTATCCGGGTCAACTGGCGATCTGGACACTACCATAGTTCGTACAGATCTCAGGTGTTTTGTGTCTCTTATAAAAGCAAAAATACATCTCCTGTGGCAAAGTGAGTGGACCAACCTCCAACTCACACACAAAATCAAGAACACAATAGAACTGTGGGGCACATCCCACAGGAAAATCAGAAGGGAGGAGGTGGTGTTGGCCCGCCTTAGGGTCAATGCCTCAAGATATACCCACCTCACTCCATACATTGAAAAAAATTACCCTCCACGATGCCGATTATGTAATACCACCATAACAATAAGCCACATCCTAACATCCTGCCAAAAATACAACAATCAACGAAACCATATCATAAACTATCTCAGAATAAAAAACAAAGATTTAACAATATCAAATCTTCTATCAGACGATGAAAAAATAATAAATAAAGTAATTGCTTTTTTAAGGGAGACAAAACTTTATGACCTTATATAGATTGACAGAATAAATAGGATCCATTGGCTTAATACCCTTGGCCACATGCCGCTGGTTGATAGCCAAGAAATCCAACAAAAGTAAAAAAAAAAGAGAACGCAGGGGGTCTAAGATAGTATGCTCACGTCTACTTAGCGGCCGAAGTATATCCGGCGGAAGCTAGAGACGTTGTTTTTGTTTGTTTGTTTTTTGTTCCCCTGCGGTCGCAAGGACAGAGGTTTTAATGGCAGTAAAGGTGGGATATTTTTAAGTTTTTCTTATTTTTATAGTTTTAACCGAGTGCTTCTTATTTTTTGTGTTTTAGGTTCCGTTTTTTATCGTTTTTATGTGTGTTTTAGTGTTTACCTTCCGTGTATTTTCAAGTGTTCTTTTACAAGTGTTTCTCCAATGTTTAAAGTGTTTTAATAAATGTATTTTTAAGACTTCACAAGTGATATCCCTCTTTTTAATTTAAACCTTTTTAAGAGAGAAATGATACCATACTTGGCTACCTGTGATAAGCAATTGACTACCTTCTATCAGCCTTTAAGGCTGACACACATTCCCCTCGGAGTAAAACACGCTTACCAGACAAACTCTTATTGATTAGGTCATTTTTCCTTTTCTTACATACATACTTTCTTTTTTTCTATTTACACTCTTCTAGACGTCTTCTCCTTTCGGTACACTTATAGTTCCTGGACGTACTAATTAGGTGGTGGCAGCGCTAATGACCTAATTAGCAAGGGTGATTAAGAGTCAATCACTACAACACTATTCCCCCTGACCTGCTGAGGGGTGTGGTCATCCCTCTCTGGAAGGAGAAAGGGGATCGGTGGGAATGAAGCAATCACCAGGCAAGGTACTCGCGCACATCCTAATGAAGCGTATCAGAGACCACCTGCTGAGGCATCAGAGGCCGGAGCAATCTGGA